TGGAAGTAGAATGCATGCGTCATCCCACGAAGCGGTCATTAGTAGCGAAGACTTTATCCATGATCCTCTATCCTTTGGATTCCAGCTCCGCCTCGAACTTCTACGGTACCTCTGGTGATTGCTGAATCCATCACAAGCCATTCTCTAACCGTCAAATATTCATCAACAATGTTTAACAACAAACACGGCAAAATCATCAGGTCAGTTGGCCATTTTTGTTTTCTTCTTTTTCTCTCATCTCTTCCTGCCGCTTTAGAAGTGTGCTGCTTGTCGCTGAGGTCACTGATGACGGTCAGATCAGCGAAACATGGATGAACGTCGAAAATGTCACCTATGTGAGTAACCTCCCCCCCCCCATTTTTGATATTTACCCATTTTCGATCGATTCTTTGGAAATTTGAATTCAAGTGGAATATTTTGTAGACGTGGATGCAGGTGCAGCGTTTTGACGTGTGGCCACTATACGCAGCTGCAGTCGATGAAATCAGCCAACGTGGAGGATCACCATCGCTAAGCCAGGTTCAGTTATCCTTCTTCTACTACACAGCTCCATTGACTGCTGGCCTTGCGTAAATAAAGAAATAGAAAAGAAACCTATAGAAGTTCCGTGCGTAGTCATGTGAGAAGAAGCGATTTGATATGAGGCCACCTCCGATCGCTTTCGACGCTTGCTCCCGAAGCTTGGCCAGAAAAACAACCAAGTGTTTGTTCTTCGAGGACACGTTTTGCACTGATCATGTGGGCTGTTCTGGGTCTTTCATTGTCGCTCCTCTTTGACGGTGCACGGTGAATGCAGAGGATTACCAATGAAGAGGGCACAATTTGCCGACTACTCTATACGACCACGGTGCCTTATGGTACGTCTGCAGAGTACTCGAGCACGCTCTCAACTACTCTTGCAGTTTTAGACCAGGCTTTAATACGTGCTACCTTACGGTAAAGCCATGCAGAAGTCTAGTCGAAGGCAACGCCGAGGGGAAATAGGTCCAACGCTTTATCGCGATGGTTCAGGACCACATGACCGCCGCAGCCAGCAGAAGGAACTATTTATTGCTAGATTCGTGTATTCGAATAAGAAGTCCTACAAAGCTAATTGTCATTGCCTGATAAGCACTCTGATATATCCTCGAATCTGAAAGTACCCTGAGGTCCGGTAGATAAGTCAACCATTAGACAGGTCCGAGCGACATCGAGTTCGCCGTGGGTGCGAATACTAAGTGGGAAATTGTTTGTTTGAAGCCCATGTTATAGCCGGGAAAGATTTGACAAGGGCCTCGCCAGAGGATGTGACCATACCGAAGAAACCGTGAAGGTTGGATGGTCGAAGGACCGATGAAAAATCAGATAACAGAAGTCTAAAGCAACCAACAAAGAGAGATTGTCTGCTCTACGAGCAGCTCTCTCTCAGAAAAAAAAGGTGAAGGGAGAACTCCAATGCGGTGTTGTTGTTGTTTGCTGTTGTTTGTGAACTTCTCTTTATCCGGGTCCCTTGACAACTTCTTCGATCATGCCGAATTTTACTTTTCTTCTTTATGTATCTGTCTTCTTAGAACTGCCTCTTCTAGATTGCCCTTCATGTTTTATGGACATAAGGCTTGTAACTTACAGAGTCCTGATCACTGACACACGCGGCGTCGCGATCGTCGCGCGCCGTCGCCGCGTGGTGTTCAGTTTGGCGGGTGACATCTGGCTTTAAGTGGAGTCACTTTATTGAGGGACGACTTAACACGGCACTATTTACCACTTTCCCACAGGAAACTCTCATTTCAATAGATTCCGATTTTTTTTTTGTACGAATACGGCAGAACTGTTGCAACAGTATGCTGCATTCCCAGCGTATCACATCAGGAAGGTACTGGACATAGAGACACCCATATGATATGGTCTATCGTCCCTTATTAGGTTGAGGAGCGCATTAAGAGGTAGGGCGGATGGGAAAGTCACAGTGGTGCGCTTTCGTGATGGACGTGATGAAAAGATAGCATATAATCAGTAAGGACTGTGATTCATCCAGATTCCGTTCATTTCCTTTCATATTGAAAAGCAAAATTTGATCTTTCAAAGAACGTGACGGAAACTCCAAATTCCCCGCACATTACTTCGCTGGGCTTGTCTGACTAACTGAATGTAGGAGAGTCTAGTGATGTCACAAGAAGACCTTCTCCGTCTTTCGGCGGCCTCGGGGAACTTCTCAAACCAGTTCCACTAACTTCCGGTGAACCAAATGGGCGATCTACGCAGAAGATTAATAGACATTCCGTCTTTCATTCAGTGAAGACTTCATTCGCGAAACAGAGAAAAGCTAGAAAATTTTAGAGGTGAACTATATCAGAGGCTTTGAATGCTTGGTTCGTAAACTAGGTCAGTTCTCTAGATCCATGAGTTGTGCATGTTCTAGGTCATGCTAATTGTGTCCAGATGTGTTTTCTGCATGCTATTTGACCGCGGTTGGTCAGCGTCATAGCGAAATTTTTCCCTAATTCTGTGAGGGAGTGAAAGCATTTTGAAGATGAGAGAAAATGAGTTTCCCGACGATTTTACTTGTATAAAAATCACTGTATTTTCTTGATGAGGCGAAGATCTCGTAGTGGAAATTGGCTCGGTTATGACTCGAACAGTCCCGGATCGAATCCTGGATCGGCCATCGATTAGGGTAACGAAGGCTTCTATCCTCTTGGACGGTAACTTGACACCATTTTCATGAGGACACTGATTTTTACATCGGCTTGCCCTCAGAAGTCATTGTATCTACCATACCGCACTACGTAGCCAGTAAGATTCTGAATAGAAGTAGCATGCATGCCGCATCCTAAAAAGGGCCAATGATCAACGGCTAGAGCTTTATCCTTTATCCTTCAAAGGTTCAACAAAAATTACCAGGCGTAATATCAAACCCTTGCCGAGGTCATTCAATGCTTCCCTACTTCATTGGTAAAATGAGGCGCAAAATGTGGTCTGAACCATAGCTGGCATCGTTGTGTGAAACACATGAGGATCGCACTTGGCGCTGTGGAGGGCGGGGGTCGTAGTTGGTCGTTGGGAGAGGGGGGTCGAATGTAGCTTTTGAAGAAATCTGCCGCATTGGAAAAATTCCCGGTTGTTGACTTTTCGCGGTTTTTCCCGTTTCACATGTGCTGCTATTTACCCTACCCCTCCCTCCGTTCGATGGGAAATTTTTGGGGAAAAAGTAGCAAATTCTCGGAAATTTCCGGAGGAAACTGGAAAACTGGTAGGAAGCTGGCTGGGAACCTGTAGGAAGGTGGTATGCAGGTGTCAAGGAAGGGGGGGGGTCGTTCTGACACCACCATTTCACACATCACGTGCTGCACCCAGACCATAGCTAGTCCCATCCAGGTCTTGCATGATGCACACACGCATTTAAAAATTCCTGGGATATTGAGGGGAAGTAGACTGCACGGCGCATTCTAAGATAGTACCTTGGCATCGGATATATGCCCTCGTTTAATTTTACTTGTTTTTTGCCACTACCGGCTACCAGGCCACATTCATTTATTCGAGAAGAAATGGGGAAATTGTTGACGATGGTCAATCCTTTTGGGATGCGCCGCGTATTATACTTCTATTCAGAATCGCAGTAGTACTTGGAATGCGATACGGCCTAAGCAATGACTTGTGGAAGTCAACCAGGGTACAGGACACTGTAGGAAGACGGGTCCGGTGCCCATTGACAGACCCAGAGGGATGAAAATCGGTCAGCGCTGATGACGTTGACTCCTGAATCCTGATCCGAAACTGAATCCTGAATCATGTGCGTTTTGGCGACGCCGAGATTACCTCTACTATTTCTCTCCCCCCCCCCCCCCCCGCCCCTAATCAATCACAACTCTAACAATATTTATTTTTTTAATCAAATAACGGGGAGAAGGTCGCTATTTAAGACCCGCGGAGCGAGGTGGGTGTAGTTATGGCCGGAAGAGAAATTTTTTCGATCACGTTTATTTCTCTTGTTCGAATGAGGGAATGGGTTAGGATACGAGCTGTTGTGACAGAGGAGACTCCAAAAGATCTATACAAGCTAACTATCTGCGATAGTTGAAAAGATAGTATATAATCCTGAAGATGCCCTCCCCCCGCTCGCTCTCCCCACACACCCCCACCCCCGCTCGACAGCAAAATTTTGGGGAAAAACCAGAAATTTTTCGGGAAAAAATGGAAAAAGTGGTAGGAAGTTGGGAAAATCTAGGAAAGTGGTAGGTAGCATGGGGAGGGGGTCGTACTTGAAGATGGAATTAGGGGGTCGTATTTTTCAGGAAATGATCACAACGCGATGGCGTGCCCTGATGTGCCCACACTACCAGTGTGACAATCACTTTGGGCACCAACGCCACGATTTTTATTATAAAAACCAACCCTTCGCAGGGATATTCGTGGACTTCATGATAAATCGATCTCATTTCCAAAGAGAGAGCTAAAAATAAACGTCTCATTTATAATCAGAGCACTAAATAGCCCCTAGAGGCAACGTTTTAGCAAGCACTGGGGTTCTGTGGGTGTTATAGTTAGAGGGGGAAAATTTTTTACGCTCTCACGGCTTAGCTTGCAAATTGCAAAAGCTCGAAGCCTTTTTTCACACTGTCCATTTTGAATTCATGTGTTTTCGTCGGCATCTACGTGACTTTGTGATTCCGCTAGAATTTCATCATTAGTAAACATATATGGCGTCAGCAATGTGGGCGTCCAAATAGATAACCACCCTTCCGCATCTATTGCACGAGACGAACTCT